ATGAATAACTGAGGCAAGAGCGAACAAGATTCCTTATTAAGGGCAGTATCTGTTTGATGATAAAATTTTCTCCAAAAAGACATCCTGAAAATCAAGAAAGCACAAAATTAGCTTAGACAGGGAATTACATTCCTTGAAACTCCATCAGCCTTTAACTTGGCAAACAGAGATTACCAATTCTGACCACAGCATCAATTCCATCATCTGATAGCCCTTTGCCCAAACAATGGATCAGAGGTATAATTGTCTGGAAACAACTTGAAGGTAAGTTTGTTTCAATTCTGGACTAAATGACATTTCTAAGACTAGGAAAAGTACAAAGTCTTTCAATTAAATCATTCTTGAATTTTTGTTTTTTTTTTTAAGGAAAAAAAACTGAGAGAGAGGATCTACAAAGAATGAAATGTTGACCTGATGAACTGTAATTGGAACACCAAGCTCCTCACAAGAGCCAACCAGGAGCACAGAGGCAGCAGCTGCTGAACTCTTGTTAGGAGCAACAAACAAGTTTGATAATACCAATGGATGTATGGCCTCCAGATATGCTTGTTTACCAATTTGGTTCCATATGTCCAGCACAAATGAGCCTTGAAGAAAAGAGACCTTCAAATGTGAATACGTGGTAGCCTGGAGTGTGAACAGGCATTAGGCACCAAATGTATGTGAAGAAGGAAGAAAATAAACAATTGCATAAAAAGGGGAAATTGAAATGTCATCAATGAAAGCCACAAGTCAATATAAAATTCAATACTAGCCTGTAAGATCTTCTGAATAATAGGCAAAACAAGTTTCTTTATAGCCTCTGGATTTAAGCACTTCAAAAACTCATTGAGTAGGATGTAAGCGAATTCAGCTTCAGTATCTGACAAGGTGGTCTTTACAAGCGGTAAGCAGTAGGAAGCACACATTTCAGCTGCAAATGATCCCATAGCTTTTAATGCTCCTTGTTTTGCAAAAGTTGCGGCATAACGAAGGCGTGACTCGTCTTTTGCTAGAAGTTGAAGTGAAGCAAGAAACAAGTATGATGACCTGACTGTGGCTGGGAAGAATGGAGAATCCAAAAGACATTTCACTGAAGGTCTCCTAATTATTGTAACAAAAACATATTTTAGATAATTTCGAATATAGGAGGTAATATTTCAGATAATTTCGAACATAGGAGGCCTGAGTGCTCAAAATTGTCCAATCCCAGCTTTTTGCCCAAAAAAATTGGTCTGTAAATTCCTTCAATTTTTAACTGGAATAAAACTGCAGTCCTTCAGGTAAAATTCTCTCTTCCAACTCCCCCCCCCCCAACCCACAAAAAACAAAAACAAAGTTTGTTTGCTACTTTATATGTAAGATGTTCCTTTTACATGCATACATAAGTAAATGTTCATTTTTGTAACTGAGTATTACATTTTACAAATTAGTAGGAACAGTTCCTTAAGATTGAAGGTATTTAACTCCTGTAGGTACCAATAAGCTGTTTGTTTAGCTTGATCAAAGCATGCAATTGTTATTGTTGACAATACTTTGATGAAAACATGAAAACCTCAAAAACTCGAAAATATATAATAGTTCCCTCTTTTCTTCATGCATGTTGTGAAAAATTGGTGAAAAGGGAATTGGATTTTCTACCTCTTCCAGTCCTTCTCAATGCATGACTTGACTACTAACTGTATCTGAGGAGGGAGCTCTTGCACCAATCTAGGTAATATGCCACTCTCCAAGTGTGTCACCATTGTGGTAGGATCAAAAAGGGGCCTGTTTAAGTAAATTTCTGCTAAGATGCAGCCAACTCCAAAGATATCACTTGCAATATCTTGAGAGTAAATATCTGAATAAGAAAACCTCTGTGCCCAAAGCAACAGTTCTTGATAACTAACAGTGTCATCATCCACTTCAATGTTTTCAATGAGAAAGTTAATATCAGCAACTGATCTCAACCCATAGTTGGTACAGCTGGCAAGTTTTGACTTAACTGAATTCTCACTCTGATGCTCTTTCTTCGAGGAGTTATCCTTCAAATGGTCATCCGAATGGAAGTTGTAAATTGGACTTAAATGCTGCGCATGCTCACAGAATGTGGCTGTTTCTTCCAATTCACCCAAGGAGATGGTTTCAACAGATTGTTCGCCTGCAGTGTCACTCACTGGGTAATGATTCCCAGACGACTCTTTGTTCCACTTAAAAGTGGACTTGGTCAATAACCGACGGGCAGGGTGTGGTTTATAGAAAAGTTGACGACGTCCTGCTGACCTTAATACTGTTGGCGATGCTGGGGGAAGCATGACATTTTTGGCATCAAGCGCTGCCTGACCTGACATTTTATAACCAAAGGTGATGTCAATCCAATGATGAATAGAGGATGAAACAAGATTGCTTTCCAAGGCATCCCTATGCAGCTTAATAAACTCTTCAGGAGTACTGGCCCATGATGGTACTGTCAAATCAGACATGCCAGCATGTAGAGAATAAAATATCCGTGGATCACAATAGAATTCTGGGATGCATTCATCAGGGGTCCATTGGTAGAGTCTCTGCATTGTAGACGGATATTCATTTGGTTCATAAACTGAACGAACAGCCATTTTCAAAACATTCAGAGGTAATCGTCTTGCCTTGTAACTGCAGACAGCAAGTTCAGAAAGGCATTCATCTGATACATGATGTGGGATTTCAGATGTTGAATATGTAAAGTCCAACTGTTCATCACCTTTTGCCAGCCGCCATTTGCTCTTGCTTAAGTCTCGCCATCCAGCTCCATCATTTTCATCAGGTTTTACACTAAAATCAATAACCCATGGCACAACTGTGTGGAATGCATGATCACCCCACCTTCTCCCAGCTATCTTATTTAAGACCAGAAGATACTCAAAATTACTCAAGTCCCCATTGTACCAACGGTAGAAACTAGAACGCAAGTCCACAGGTTGAGAAAGTTTTAAATCTGCGAAGAGTCCTCCAGAAGAGCAGGCCTTATTTGAGCAACTTCTACTTAAAGGACAGAATATGTCTACCTTTGAGTTTGAAGGAGAGCTTAGTACTAATTTATCACCAACTGGCAGCCAACACCAGCATGTATCAGTCAACATTATACTCGACGGGCACACATTACCATAGGCAATTCCTAAACCATGCATGTAAGACAATCCAGAGAGTATTTGGTATATTAGAAATCTAGCATGCCAATCGCACTTTAAAGCACCAGGACTGTAATGAAGAATGTTTTCCAAGGTATAGGGAGTTTTAGGAAGAACAAAATTGATTTGACTGGATGTTTTCAGCATTCCCAAGATTGGAGCTATATTTGGATGCCTTACGCAGCCAGGAAAGTTAATATCATCGAATGCTGGCACCCCAAGTAAATTAAGAAAGTTAATGGCTTCTTGCCCAGTGGCTTTTCCCTCTATCAAGAGAATAAGAGAGTGTAAGACATGATCTTCCACAGATCCAGACAAGAAGTCTGAAGCAATCTCTTCAAACAAAGCATAGGAACAAACACCAACCCGAGCAATGGGAGCCAAGGAAGTGATGGTCCTAGTGCAAGAATACCAACCAGAAAAGTTGCAGGTCGAACTCCGACACCCTAATCCATGTAGGTGTGTACTTGTTCCAGCATTTGACAAATGCCGACATTCAGTCGATTGAATTTCTAGTGTAATAGTTTTATCAGCAGGAATTCCAGGTTTGAACTCTGGCTGAAGTTCATGAACAACTCCAGAAACAGAATCGTCAGCGATGCTATCTTTACGATAATCCAGACAGCACTCGTCACTGCAGAGAGATACAAAGTCTGCTGACGGCCTTATCGTTATAAAATTTTAAAGAGGGCAAGTGTTAAACCATTTCTTCAACATCTAAGGTTCAAATTATCTCATATGTGAACCAGGATATATTTGCTATCATTAAGTTATGACGCCAAAGCATCATCCTTTTTTTTTCTATTTTCAAATTATTTTCCTTTGGCACTTATTCCCCAAGAAAAAACAATTAAAGTTTAGGTAAAAATTGGCAAGAAAGGCATTATAAGCACGGAATTGGCAAGAAATGAGATGGCAAGGCAAGTTGTAAAATACAAGCACATTTAGAGAGGAGGAAGATTGATGTGGAATTAGTGGAGTAGCAATGATGGTAAAAATTAGGAGGCATGAAATAGTAGACAAATTACATGTATTGGGTGAAGCAATGATGCTGGCGTGATCGTCTCTTATAGTAGTTGATTATAAATTCAGGAGGTGATGCAGAGGCCGACGCAGCCTCTCCTTCTCCATTCCAACCGGATAGCTGCTGGATTCGGGATTTATTGAGTAGTAGTAGTAATTGAATACAAGCAAGCAATAGAAGAAGAAGCATAAGGAAGCCAAACTAGCCCAGTAAGTGTATGATTGAAAAACAGTCAAAAAAAGAAAGGAAAAAAGAACCTGAACGACGGCGGAGGAGGCAAAAGGTAAGGGAGAATAATGGGGGGACAGCCCATAAACAAAGTTGAGCTTTTGATTGTAGTCGGCTTTGATTCGTCGTTCAAGGCACTCCATGCACCATCTTTCTTCTTCTTCCTCTTCTTCTTCTTCGCCTTCCTTATTGTCCATCATCCCTCTCTGCTTCTGCTGCTGCCCTTAGCTGATTCAACTGATTCCGGCAGAGCAAACCCACAAAAGGAATCTTTTTTTTTCAAGTTATTGTTTTGATACTACTACTAGTAGCCAGTAAGTAAGAATTGGGTTGCTTCGCTAAATCGCATCCATCATCATCTCCGTCTGTCTTTGATGCACTACTCATTGCCACTAGCCATGTCCTTTGCTTTTTTTTCTTTCGGTTTTACTATTAAAACAAACAGAGAGTATACCATAACATCTTTTTTTTTTTTTTTTTAAGTCTACCCGAAAAAAGATGCCGCGTATAGACAGATACCACTTCTCTTCTCAGCCCAAGAAATCGTGTGAAAGGAAGAAACAAATGGTTGGAATTGGCAGCCACAATTTTTTATTTTATTTTTTTTTTTTTGGGGTTATCTCCTCTGTTTCTCTCAATTTCGAAATTTGATTGGAGTTTTTTTTTTTTAATACAACTGATTATTTGGGCACTAAAAAAAAACTAAAAATGGTAGCACCACAAAACAGTCGCACGTCCTAAATTTAGGAAATGGAGCGGGTTCGGTATAACAAACATCACTGTAGTTGCAATATATTACCAGTGCCACTTGATAAACTGAAGAAGAAACTTGTGGGACGAAGATGCCGACCAACAGCCACCCTACAACTGCAACTGCTGCTTACGGAGAGAGCTGGTACTGGGACAAGCGTTACGCTTCTTCTAGCTCTGGATCAGGATCAGGATCAGAATCAGAAGCCTCCTTTGATTGGTACCAGAAATACCCATCTCTAGCCCCGCTCCTCCACCTCTACATTCCCCGCCACCACCGCGTTCTCGTCGTTGGCTGCGGCAACTCTGGTTGGTAACCCCCCCCCCCCCCCCCCCCCCCCCCCCCCCCATTCCCCCAATAACAACCCAACCCATCATCAATTCTACTCTTTAACTTCTTACTTGTCTCTGCTGTTTCATTATTACACAATCCTTTATCCATCCAAGACATAAACAAGCGTATACATATTGTTTTTGGTTGATCTAAAGGGATGTCTTTTAAGTTTTAACCCGACGAGCCCACAAAAGAAAAGGAAAAAAATATATATGTATTTAAAAAAAACACACACACACACACCCACACACATGGGTTGATTTTGATCAGTTTGTGAATCACGTCATTTCTTCTTCTTTTTAAAAGCTACATCAAACCAATCTTGATAAAGATGATGCCGTTATTGCCCAATTAGTTATTACTAAAAGTACCTTGTCAGTTTTCTTTAAAAAGGATAGTGCAGTTGTTACCGTTTCAATCGCCAAAGGTCTTGTGACTCTAATCTTGATATTTGCAGCATTTAGCGAAGGCATGGTTAATGACGGCTATGCTCAAGTTTTCAACATTGATATATCATCAGTTGTGATTGCGGCAATGCAAAGGAAGTACTCCTCTTGTTCTCAACTGAAATGTAAGTTTTCAGTACTTGTGTTACTTGACCAAAAATTAGATAGTGTTTGGCTTTGAAGTTTCTGTTACTCTGTTTTTCTCTGCAACCCAAAAGATAAATTAAAGCTAAAAGCTTTCCAAATTAAGAAAAAGTGCACCATATGCCACAAGCCCCAGAACAAGCTCATGCATGGACTGAGAAGCGTAGAAGAAACAGGATATTGCGCTGTGATCAAGAGCAAGTGTTTAGGTGACTTGTCCTTTGATACTTCATGGCTTAGTTTTTTTTTTAATATTACCAGCTGTTTCCATGGCTTCTAACCAGATATGAAGATGGATGTGAGAGATATGAACGCCTTCGAAGCAGGTTCCTTTGATGCAGTTGTTGATAAAGGTGCACCTTTGTTATTCCTAGGATTGTATATTTTGTTATGACATTTTAAAGCCTGTACTTATGTTATTCGATATGGACTTCCAGGAACTTTGGACTCTATCTTGGTGAGTGCTTTCTGAAGCAATACGAATCTGTAACAGAGATGATTACTTATGTCAAATAAATGTCTGCAGTGCGGGAACAATTCACAAGAAAATGCTGCTAAGATGCTCCAGGAGGTTGGCAGGTAAAGTGATTGATCATAAATATTCTGCATCATCGTACATTTTGGCGTTTCATGTTTTATTTTCCATCTTGAACTGTTCTTACATTTAAGCAGTTGATAACACACTATATAGGGTCCTGGAGGATAGAGGCATATACCTCCTGGTAACTATAACTTTTTTCTACTTTATGTTGTACTGCTTTATCTTGACTACTATTTTAAGTCTTGCAGTACAGTAAATTTAAAAGTATCTGATCTTTTCTCTGCACACTTAATGGAATTTCGTTATATTTCAGATTACATATGGAGCACCAAATTATCGACTACACTTATTGAGAAATTCATGCTCATGGACAATCAAACTACACGTGATAGGTTGTCCACTTTCCTTTTTATATGTTCTTTTGACATGATACAATTGTTAAAAAGCATTAAGCTTCCTATGCAGCATTTTGAAGTAACAACATCCTGGTTTTGCTGCTTAGTTGTTAATCTGGAGTCAATAATGACTGTAGTTATTAGTTATTACCTCAACAAATTAGCACGTACGAAATCTGAAATAATCATAGTATACGGGTAAGCATTACTATGGGTTTGTGATTTTGAATCGCTTCTCCATCGCGCCCTCTGTTTCCTGCTGTGTAAAAAAGAAAATGAAAATGACAAAAATGAAAGAGAAAAGGTGGACAATATGTCATAGAACATACTACATAGATTCTGTACAGCTGTATTCTGAGCAGTGTGATTTGGAACAAATATACTTTAGTTTTTATGGGGAAGAAGAGTACACCTGGCAGTGTACTAGGAAGTGTTTTTCTTATGAAGTTTGAAATGGCAATTAACCAATTGAGAAAATGAGATCGATGAGGTTTTATATGGTTGATTTACCTTTTTTTTTGTATCTTTCTTTTTCTTTCAGAGCAGGGCAAGTGTTCCATTATCATATGTTTGACATATAATCTGAAAGCTTCATTTGGTTAATTTCTATCAATTCGCTCCTCCATCCCAATAAACGTCTTTGTTGCTGCCAGCAGGTAAACTTCTGTCAGAAGAAACCTCACAATGTCGGGAATGGGATCTAACCTTTCCTGTTCCACTGGATGATGATGGAATCTCTACTGAAGCAGTCTTGGGAAAGAACCCCGATGTCCACTACATATACGTCTGTATTAAGGTCTGTTTAAGATGTTAGTCTTTAGTGTTCTGCTTCTGACTTATGTTTTCCACTGATAGATTCCAAACTGAGTTCTAATGAAAATGCCACGAGTGTTTCACTACGAAGGCCAAAAAGAAAGAGATTACCCAGTAAAGCTGGGTATTCATCATATAGTTCCTCTTCCAAGAACTCATTCTAGCCTTTTCCCCAAGCTACCTTACATCTTAAATTTCTGTTTCAGGACAAGAAGCATGAATCCACCATTTGAGGGCAGGGCACTGTACTCTATTGATTAAATGATTGCTAGTTATGAGTTTAATAGATTCAAATGGCAAGTGTGATTGTGTGACTGTCGAGTTTGTACAATAGGCATAGCCCTTGCTTACATATAATTTCTATGGATTAGGTGCATTGTATTTCTGTCAAGACAAAGGTCACCTTGTGGTTCAAAAGTGATCTTGAATGTCTTCGAATTAGTGATGGTACAACTGTTATATCTTGTAGATTTCTTCTTTCTTTTTAAGGTCATCTTCTTTCCCCCAATTATGCTATAGCATTTTCATGGTCAACTGTACGCGAATGATTATGCCAAATAGCTAATTGATGTGTAAAGCTTAGTTTTTGATTGTTTTTGTCACATTCTTTGGTTTTGGTTTTTGTTTTTGTTTGTTTGATGGAGTGAAGAGTTGTCTTTGTACTCGGAAAGTACGACAATAATTGACTACTATTCTTACTAGGTCTTCTGTGATGCATAATGGATCTGAATTGAAGCATAAGATGTGGACACGTCTAAAAAAAAAAGAAGTCGGTACACCATCCTTAATTTCCTCAACCCAACCATCATCCCCTTCTACCACCACTGCCCAGCGCCCCTTCATCTTTCATCTCTAGTATCACCCCCTCTTTCTTCTTCACTGGCACCATTCGCCTCCCCTCTTCCTCCTCTTCTCCCCTTTCTGGGGAGGCGAGAAAGAGGGGGAGAGGGAAAAGGGGAGCAAAAAAATGAGGGAGAGAAAGAACGGGAAGAGAAGGAGAGAAAAGGGTGGTGTTGGGGAGGAAGGAGTAGGGAGGAGAGGGTGACAGGCGGTGGTGATGGGGAAGAGGGTGGGTAAAAAAAGGTAAGGCGTGTTTTTGTTAAATTTAAATAGGAGTCAAATTTGGGTTTTGTCCAAAACCCTACAATTACTTGGAGGGGAGAATAGAAGGAAGAGAAAGGAGGTGGGAAACAGAGGAGAGGGAGAAGGGGAGCAAAAAGAGAAGGAGAGAGAAGGGTGGTGTTGGGGGAGGAAGGAGTAGGGACGAAAGGGTAACAGACAGTGGTGTGGTGGTGGGGAAGAGGGTGGATGAAAAAGATAATAAACCCTGCAATTACTTGGGTTTTGGGGAATCCGTCCAATATGAGATTCATTTCAACTCCTAATTCCAAAATCCTCTTACCAAACACCATTTTGGATTAGATCGAAGAATGCAATATATTTTATTATCATCAATGCACCTAAGAACCAATAGGCATAAGCAAACGAAATTCAAGCAATGATTGATGATGAACGATGTCATTAATATCTCAAATAATATGAAAAACTTCATTTGACTCCAAAAGAAAAAGATGATCTTTCTCTAAACTTTACTTCTTTTTTTTTTCCTCACAAGGGGGAGATGGAATTAAAAAAACGAGGACGAGACTGAGAGATTTAAACCCAAACCTCTAATTTTGTACATTCTCCGCACATAACAGAAAATAAATTCTATACATGATTTGGTATCTATGTTTCCAAAACAGTGAAGCAGCACAATTGCACACCGGTAATAAGATGGAGCCTAGCAAGTTTCTCCAAGTTTCTCCACAGAAGTTTGATGTTTCATAACTCTGACGTTTTAACACGGGATGCAACCCAAGGCAAGGCTTCTCTAATCGTCCATTCTTTTTCCTTTCCTCCAGCAACTCCAGGCTATTCAATAGTTAACAGAATGTGCAGCACACGGCAAATATTTATGGATACCATGACCTCTTCTACCTGTTAAAACAGATTTACATTTATGGATACCTGGGTTTAATCATCTGACAGTGAGCAGGTCAATTGTTGCCCCGTCATAGAAATTTTTCTTAGCACTCAGCTTCTTGCTAAGGCTGTTATCCTTTTAGCCTTGCAAAGCTACTCGTTTGTTGCTGCTTTTGCACAACAATATTCTGTCTACCAATCAGTTTCTTCACCATATCATCTAGCTCAGCAACCCTCCTCTGTAAGTTTGTTTTGTCTGCCTGGAAAAAAGGTAACAACGAAGATGAGACCAAATTTGACTGTATCTAATGCATAGACTCAAAAAATTTAAGATGTTGTTAACATATACTTTTAACATCTCATTTTGTGCAGACAGCAACTGATCTCGTTCCCGTACTTGTTCTAGGATCATATGTGTGGCAAGGACGTCCGCTTCTCTTCTATTTACTTCCAAAACGCATCTGACAAATCATGATCTCCACATTAGTTGAGATGAGATTATATTGCCTGGAAAATATCATGATATTTCCATTTGAAAATATCATGCTTAGGTGACTCTTATGATTTGACCCGTCAGGGCATAGAACTCCTGAACTCGAGAGGCTGAGTGTTACTTGAGGAAAACCCAAGGCAATGGTTGCACTTCTGTGATAAACGCTAAAATCCAAGATGAAAATATCGTGGAGCGCATTTAAAAGAGCATTAAAAGCAAACAAATGTGTATTGCAACGTATTCTATCTGTACCCTGTAGGAGCTTCATTCCTGGAGTTTATCACACACTTCCTACTTTGCTAATGCTGGTTAAGCAAGAACAGTCAATGGCAGATCTTGGGGTGAAGTCAACTATATTTTACTTAACGTGCACAACTGCATTCATAAATATTACAGCCATGACTCTCTGTCTCTGAGCAAGTAAAGTATAAGCTAAGCGAACTAAACCTCTCAAAACTACCGTCACAAATAGTGAATTACCCAAGGAAAAGACTGAGTATTGCAAGCAATGCAAATCAAATGAGAAAACTGACAAAACTGAAGAGAACAGATGAGGGGGTTATTGTAAACATTGTCTGACCTTTCTCTTTCCTCGACTAAGTCATTGATTCGCCTCCTCAGCTCCAGAACTTCTTTCTCCTACATGAATATATTTCAGTAAAGGAGAACAAAAAAACTATTTCAGTTTCACACAAGATACCTTCTTGCCATTTTTCCAAATCGAGAAAGTGTTAAGCCTGAAAAAGAAAAGTGAGAAGTTTCTGAAAAATTCCATCTTATATACCATCACAATATATTGCTTTGCTTGGTGCTGAGCCTCCTCAACTAACTTTTGAAGCCGATTCTGAGATACCAAGTCCTGGAATGTGAAATAAAATAAATCATACAAACTGCAGAAAAGAATTTAACATACCTGTGGATAGTGCAGGACAAATACCGCATAGTTTGTTATGTCTAATTTGACACCAAGCAGATCCCGAATGACATCATGAGTCATGCTTTCCACTGAAGCCAGTCTAGTGTTCAGCAAACATACCTGGCATAAGAAGGATTAATCATATGGGGGATACCAATAACAAGAAATATACATTATTAACAAAGCAAGCTTCAAATAGACATGCATGCAAAGAAAATACATTAAAACTCGAGATGTTTTAGATACGCTCAAGTAAAAGGCAGAAAGGATCACTGGGAGAATTAACAAAGCATTTGACTCAAAAAAACTAGGAGGGATGCATTGTATTTTAATAACTGTATTTCCAGTACCAAGCCAATACACACACACACATATGTATGTATGTATACACACACACACACACATATGTATGTATGTATACACACACACACACACACTTATCTCTAAGAAGGACAAGTATGTGCACTAAACTGATTCTACCTCTTTCTGCCTACTAGCCACTAATGCCTCGAGTTCTTCTATACGAAACTTGGCAATTGACAATTCCTGATCTTTCTCCATATTCATCTGCTGCACCAAACTTGCAATGCATCTGAATGGTGAGCTTGAGCCCCTTGATCTCACTGAAGTTTTCTCAGTTTTATCCAGCGTTGGTGCTCCACATATTACATCGGATGAATCTGTTCTGACTTCATGAATCATTGCCTCCAAGCTTTTGTACTGGTCAAGGATGAGATCAGGTGAAGAGCTATAAATGGAATGAAAAACTGATAAATGGAGTCTAAAAAAATAAAAGAAAAGGAGAAAAAGAACATGTTTATGCAAGAACTGGAAGTTGAAGATTAGAAAACCAAAGATATACTTCCATCTTGCTAAGCAACAGGCTAAGGTTTGATTTTGCATGTCTTGTACAATATTTGGCAATTCTGAAGAAGCCCTAGCAGTTGGGAGTCCAGCTTTATTTTCATTTAGATTATGTTCTATTGTCGCTAAGTTTGCAGTTGCACCAGCTTGTAGAGCTTAATATGAGCGTCCAGGCTCTTGATCAACTAAAAGTTTACAAGTTTAGCTCTGTTGCATGCTAAATTGAACATTCATTTTTTTCCACTAAGCACATTCAATTAAATGCCCTCCCTCACCATTATTCAGGAAATGGTTAGTCAGCTTGTGGACTAGTAGAAGAAAAGTTAACCCTGCTATTTTCTTGCTTTACCTTCTGTTGATACTGCGATGCCTGGGCTTCAGCGTGCACAACAACTTCAGAGATGTATTCTCTATATTGCTTGATCTACAAAACAGACTACCCGCTTGAAACCGACAGAGAAAATAAAGAAGTAGAAATTTCTCATCAAGCAGTGAAATGCACCAGCAGATCATGACTCACCTCCTTAGCTAGTTTATCCTTTTCTTCTTCAAGAATTCTTATTTGACTCAGAGCCTCGTGAAGTTCCACACTTCCCCTGTGCATTTTTGGTTGTAGAATCATTTCAATCAAATCAGTCAGAGCAAACTCAAAAACCAGGACAAATATACAAAAGCGAAGTAAAGGGACTTATAGATCTCAAGAATTGATTTTCTGACAGCTCTCTACTTGAGTCCAAATCTTCAGTTATGCTTTCAACCATCAACAATCTTTCTCTCAGACCATGGAGTTCCACTTCCAAAGAATCTCTTACTTGGCGATATCTTTCTACCTCTTCTTCCATTTCAGAAACCTAGAAGCCAAACACCAGAAATGATTGTATGTATAATTGTCCCAGGAATTAGTTTGTCATGAAGGCAATACCAAACAACAAAGATTAGAAGAGTGGGAGCAAATTGGCTTCATTGTCAAGATGTTAAGTAGCAATGTCACATCTCAATCATAAAAGAGATTAACAACAGCAGACCCTAGTTTGATTAATTTACCATGAGTAAAGTTCAAGCTTTTGTGATTAAGTGCTAAAGTTGGAACACCAGTGAGATTGGTGCTCAGTAGTGGAAAGGCTACTAGAATGGAAAACAAATCATTTTCTAGGTAAAAGGCTACTAGAATCCAGTTCAACCAGACCACAGAGCAGCAGGAGCCTCATGCAAGGGTTATACTCTTTATCCTACAATTTAGTAAGTAGACATAATCATGGATTAACTTACCTTCTTTTCCAGTACATTGATGGTGCTGTCAAGTTCCTCCACTGAGTGTTCTAAAATCTTTACTTCCTCTTCCTTCTGCTCAGCATACACTTTACTAGCTTCTGATTCCTGAAAATGAAACATTGGTTCAGAATATATGGCATTATTTGCACCCTCGTATCTCAAAATCGTTAGCAAATAGTGAATGAGGATACCTGGCACGCTTCTAAGGCGATAGCCTCCTTTTCATCAGCTACTGCATATGCAATATCGAGCTTGTCCTGTAGAGATTGAAGTTGATCAAGAAGTTGATTTCTTTCTGCAGTCACCCTTTTCATATCATCCTTGATGTCTTTTATTGAAGAGGCCATTTTTTCCTCTGCTGAAGAAGCCATGCGGAGGATTTCATCTTCTAAGTCTTTCACACTTTCTCTTTGTTCTTCCAGTTGTTGCTCTGTTTCTGACTTCTTTAGATAAACATCCTTTAAGAGCATTCTCAACTCAGCATTTTCTTCCGACAAGATATCTAATGTGCCTCTCACCTCCTCTAAATCAGAATGTGAGACACACAAAGCATTTTCAGCCTCCATTAAACGGCCTTCAAGTGTTTTATGCTTTATAAGCATGTTATCAAGCTGACTTGTTTTCATCTTTAGCTCATTCCTAACTTGGTTCAATGCTGCATGTAACTTTTCAATTTCATCCTTGGCCTCCTTTGTACTGCTAGCAGATTCTTGCAACAAGCTTAAATCAAAAAGTAAACCTTTCAATAAAACTTCTTTTCGTTCCACTTCTCTCTTCAGCTCCAAATGTTCATTTATCAGGTCATCCTCTCCTGCTTCTGATCTATTGACAAATTCATATTGACACCCTTCCTCTTCACCTTGTGCTAGTTTAACCTCGCTTTCATTCCTATAACTCGCACTCTCTTTTCCTGAGTTCTGCATAACAGTAAGTCCTTCACAAGTTGAAGCAAGGAAATCTGAATTTTTGTTTAGCCTTCTGATTTCATCATAAATCTTCCCCAAATAGCGCTCATTGAACACAAAAGAGATAATGCCATTTTCCCTGACCTCAGCTGAAATCTCCTCCAACAATGATCTCAAACTGGAAATGTTGTTGAGTGTCTCCTTTACCATCAAAATGGTATCACAATATGAAGTCTTACACAGATCTTCAACATCCTTTTGAAAGGAACCTTCTATCAGAAACATTAAACTTGCAATTTCTGTCAGGATGAAATGAATTTGGTGTTGCAGCATTTCATTTTCACTCTCTTTAAAATGAATAGAGGATTTCAGTAGATTGACCTCTTCAAACAAGTTTGCTTTCTGTATCATCAACTCATTTCCAACCTGTTTCCAAGCAGAAGTCAACTGTTTTGCATCATCATTTGATTTCAATAAAGCATTTAACATATAATCAGCCTCCTTCACCGTTGCTTGAGCTTCCTCAAATTTGCTAAAGAAGCTGTCTGCCTGATTAATTTTGTAATAAGAATTAAACTGCATATAGGAAAATGTAAATGTAAAAATGTTAATTCTATCAACATGCTGAAGATCTCGTGAATCTACCTGATGATGGTTTACTTCTAAAACAAAATTAATCAAAAGTTTTCAGATTTCAGTTACCTCTCTTGTAAGACTGCAGCTAGCATCAGCCATCTGTGTTATCTCCTCATGACTTTGTATCATAGCACCTGCATTTGGCATGATCACTTGTTCATTTTCATCCCTAACAAAGTGGTGCTCTTTGTTTGTGATGAATAAATGTGAATTGGTGAAGCAGACACCTGAGGTAGAGCCATCCCATGTGTCTTCTACACTGAAAATTGCAGTCAACTGATCATTTATTTTTGACAAAGCATCATATGCTGCTCTGAATTCCTTTCTCAAGCAAAAAGAAGTTAGTCGATCACAATCCAGTGTTTCGACTAGCCTTGAGTGTCCTGATTCTTGATATTTAGAAGAAACAACGAAACTTTCTTCAGGCTCTAGGTCAAATGTTTGTTCAGTTTTCTTTTCGAGGTACTGACCATAACGATTCACGGCAATTTGCTTTGATGTAAGACCACTGTCGGCTGATGAATTAGAACTTGAAAAATCCGTGGTCCATCCGTTAACTTCTGCTGGCGACTGACATGAATACACAATTCCAGAAAGGTATGCATTCATTGAATTCAGTCTTTTATTTACTTCAGCAAGTTCACCTAAAATCTGATGCAACATATTATACCCATTCTCATGCTCAAGAAACCTAAGGGTATGAACTAATGGACTTCCAGATGTATGAATATCAACACTTCCATAATTTACATTTAGTTTCACAAAGTTCCTCCTCATATCATGGATATCGTTCACAAGATCCTGAATTAATTCCTTGTATAGAGAAAATGTTTCATGGATGTCAGACTGAAGGGACATAAAATGACTTTCTGCATCTACACGAGATATGCTAATTGCACTCTCAGCCTCGAGCAATCCATAGTGTGCCAACTCAATATCAGCATTCACCTCTGCTGTCACTGAAGTATGTGCATCAGCTGATGGCACGTTCTTCTCAACATTGTCCCAGAGAACCACCATTGGCTGATGGAAATTTGTTTTCATCTCTAAGAAATTATAATCGGCATATCTTTTAACCTCAGTTATTGGACCCTCATGGTATATCAGGTTGGATTCTAAATGCTCTATCTGCTGAGCTTCAGACAAAACCATTGTTGCACCTCTCAAGGAATTCAATTTCTGATCCATCTCCAAGACTGTCGTTTGTGCATCTTCCAAACTCCTTTTTAGAAGAAACATACTTTCTTCCTTCTCAACACACAATTTAGCAGCTCTCTCCACATGTTCACTGACCCAAACATTATCACAGGGAAATAAACTACCAATACTCTCTATCTGTGAAGAAGCATCTCCAATTGACTTCGAGCCATCTAAAAGAAAGTTGGTTAGCTCCAAAGTTGCCCTTTCCCATTCAGAACACAATACCTCCATTTCACCGTCCTTTGCTGCTATACAATTTCTTAGACTTCTATTTTCTTCCTCCAAGGACTTTGTTCTCCCTTGGAGTTCTGACTGCAGTGTAGCAATCTCTTCCTGCAAGTGGAGGATTGTTCTGGCTGTTTCAATCTCTACATCTTCCTGGATTGATTCAGCTTGGGATTGCTGAGATAAGCCCGTGGCATGATCCTTTAGATATTGGCTATTCAGCAACTGAGCATGCTGAAGATCCTTAGACAACTTGACCAACTTAGCTTGCAAGACCAATGTGCAGGAGTCATTTTCACCCTCTGTAACAAAATTTAAGTCTTCGTCTAGTACAAAACCACTCTGCATATTACAGTGCTCAGGTTCAGGCCTATGCTTGCCCTCCCCATTTTGCTCTTTTTGCAACGTTTCCATCAATTTATCATTTTCATTGCGCAAAAATTCTAGCTCTTCGATCAAGCAGAGTTGCTTTGATTCCATAGCTTCGATCACCGATCTTGCATCCTTCAGCTCTTTTTGAATCTCACTGCACTGCAAAACCAGTGCTCTCTCCATGTGTTGCCCATCCTCACACAATGAAGCACATTCCTCTTGTAGGATGCAAGATGCCAATTCATCTACAGAACAACTTCTGGGAAGCATCTCTCTGGCCTGCAAACAACTCTGTAATCAACAGCAAAATTCAGCGAAATTGGGAACCAATTTCTACTATCAAATACAATGACCGACTGGCTATGTCTTAATGTACAATTTATAGAACAGAAAGTCAAGCTCATTGAACTACCACTAAGACCAAAAAGGAAAACATGTGCATATATCTTACTGAATCAGAAGTAGGTAGGTTACAGTCGATAAATTTCCCAAGTTCCCTCTGCAATTCATCAACTTCCCTACAATCACAGCTCATGTATTTTAGTGATGCAAAATGCAACAACTTAAGATCTCTAATATGTTGTATGCTTAACTGATTAAACTTGGACATTAGGTGAACTCTAGGAAACCAGAGAGTTGTAAATAAGTCAAAAAAGCTTGCAACTTATGCCAAAAGAACAGCCAAGGCACAACAAAAACTGTATCCATTCTCAGATGCTGTGGTAGGTTGTCCCAGAAAAGTTATGCCCCTATCATGCTTCTGCCTTTATGCCGTTTTATTGGATCAATAGAGTTTCATTGGAGTATGAAGAAAAGGAAAACAGCAATTCTTCTGTTTGTTTAATTGGAAACTTTCTATACAAAGTAGCTCTCCCAAAATGCACTAGTAATTAAAACTATGCTGTATAACTCCACAACTTAGGCACATAGAAGGTAGAAACAATAGAAACTAAGTAAAGGAAATAGAAACTAAGTAAATTTCCTTTCTGTTTCATTCAATCATTCAAATGTTGAAACCGTCACTGTTAGTAGCTCAATTTTTCCTGCATAATCTCAAACAAAGAAAGACAAAATGCAGATAAATCATACCATAACTTTCAGCAGAAAAAAGATAGAAAAATAAATAAATATAATTACATTTCCTTCCTCTTTTTTTTTTGGGTTCGACCATTCAAATGTATAAACATAAAGCAAGCTGTCACAAAGGTGCGGAAAGCTTGAGTTCCCATGTCACAATGCAACATGTCTTTAATTTATCAGATCATTAAATCATGACAAATAATTGTTATGGCCGACAAAAAGACAGGATCCAAGGCTCTACAACTGGTAACTGGCCAATATAGTTTGAACTCTGCTAGTGGTAGTTTTCGGAATTCATTCAGTTACAGGTTATATTGTAAAGTTAGTCAAACCTGAAATCATTACATTTAGCAAGGTGTACCTGACTAAGTTAGAATTCAAGTCCCTCTGTTTGTTTAATTCCTTTTCAGCTCTAGTTTCCTGCAAATTCAGGAACTGTACAAATTAGAAGTGGAATAACTAAATCAAATGATTTCATACTATGCATGGGGGTAGACAGACCTGATTTTCTTTGCATGGAGATGAATGAGAATGTACACAGCTTTCTTCAGCTTCAAGAATGTCAGATAACTTGAGAGAAAAATATCAAATGTCATTCTTTGACTGAACTTAACAGGGCATCAGAAAATATTATATAACGAGAGTTACTCATGCCAAACCTCATCCCGTAGTTCTGATATTTCAGCTAGAAGTGTTTCTCTTTCTCCTTGTCCATAAAATTCTTTAAACCTAGTAGCCAAACAAGTCAGTGGACCATTCAAAGAAGGAGGCCTAACATCCAAGAAAAGTATTCAAGGTTTTGAGGTGATGATAATTACAATCTGAGTTGCTCAAGAAGTCTAATATTCTCCAATGCAGATCGTGTCAGTTCCGGATTCTTCCCAATTCGTGATTGGAGTAGTCCAATTTCTTCTCTTAAAGCATTGTTTTCATTCAGAATATAAGCATCAGCAGAGACAAAACCATCTGCAAGTAGTTCCAGGTGCTTTATCCTTTCATCACGGGACCTCAGAATCATTTTAGCATGTTGAGCATCTAATTCAAGTTGATGAACCTGTAAGGGCCATATGGTACCACAATTTTTGTTTTAAGTCAAGAAACTTATAGTATTCATCATTTCTCATAAAATTTATGATGAACATAAAGTAATGATATTTAAATATCCAGATGAATCTAAAGCTGATTTGCTTTTGTTGCTAGACATACCAAACTATTTAGCTGCTCCATTTCTGCTTTTAATCTCTTGACTTCTAATTCAGCCAGATTCTCCCTTCTCAAGGCACCAAGTAAAGTAGCTTTGGAGCACATTGTCTGCCATTTGTAAGTAATGAAGTTACACCACCCCATATGTAGAGCATCAAATTCATTTAGGTCATAGATCGTCACCTTCTTCCTTCTGCCACTCTGTGTTCCATGATTATCATGCATAATCATTTGCTCAGATGAGTCCAATTCCTCAAGAAAGGTTCCCAAATAGGATTCTTTGCAACTTGGTGTATGATTGGACAAATACTCTGAATCATGGCTATGCTTTGACAGAATAGACAGCTGACCCTGTTTTAATAAATGCCTCAGTTACCAGCTAGTGTGAAAGAGAAATGATAAATAAACAATTATGTAACCAGTACCTTCAGTTGTTGGATTTGGCGTTGTAATGCTATTACATCACCAGAAGCATCTTCATTAACCTTAGCCTGGAGAGAGGTAACAAATTAAAGAATTGAAAGAAAGTCAATAATTTCTATACTTGATTGAATTTCAACAGCTCGTACATTGTTCTGAATGAGTTTTGCTCGTTGAGCAAACTTTAAGGTGCTCAATGTCTCATTTGCTGAGCTGCAGAAAACATTACGTGTAAAATAGTAAAATAAGTAATTTTCCATATCATAATTTATCTGTAAGTATTCCAGGGTCCTTGTCAGATATTTACCAAATAGATGGGCTGACATTAGCAATAATTGTAGTTTTAGAGTTACCGCCGAGGGAATCCTGCGTTAAAGCAAGCATCAAAATCAAATCCTAGAGAAAACATCATCAGCAGTTCAAATTTCATACCAATCAAACGGAATTTCACTAATATTTTCTTACTCTTCCTAATAGTTCTGACCTGGAGAAGAAACGTTAGCCTAGAGTCCCTGTAGGGAACATGTCTGTTTTTCCCTTGTGCTAAATCCACCAGAGACATTATGACCAATCTACAAAAGCACATTCATCACTGAAAATTTAGGGATACCTTGAATAGAATGTGAATAATCACTTTAAAATACCTAAAATGTTTTCAGTTGCATAATCATGAAGAACAATGGCCATTGTCGTAACTAGAGCAGAAAGGTACAACCTTGGCAGGAGGAAATATCACTCGCCAAATTTACTTGTGAATATCTGCTTGTAGTTTTTAAAAAAAAAAAAGTATCTCTTTTTCCAATAGATACTTTTAGACCGAGGAAAATTTTATTTTCCCTATTTTTTACAAGCATGTAGCAATGCTCTAAAGCAACTTCCTGAATCAATTACTGTGGCTAGAATTCCTGAGGTTTGATGTGATCTGATGAACAATTATGTTCAAATCTGTTGAAAACCTTCCTCATTGGCTGCTTTACCATCCTTAACAAATAAAATAATTATTACACTGATGGAAGTTTATTTATTTTTGGACCAGATAAAGAACTTTTCCTATAAAGCATTAGGATTTTTTTTTCATCATGTCATCACCACAACTTGCTCTTTGCTACAATTACATGCGAAAGAAAGGACTTTGATTTGGTACATCCTTTGCATTTATGAGATTTAATTTCCTTTCTGCTTTTTAAGGACAAGATCATGGTAAACCAGCCCACTATAGTAAATAATGAGAGATCTTGTTCAAGTCTAATCTCAACAAATTTCGCTGCACAACAAATTGGTATGGGAGATCTAGTGTAATGCCAGAAGGAAAAAGTGATAATTCAGATATCAGAGAAGGAAAATTAAAAAAGTTAACAAGAAGAAAATAGGCTTTGTCAACCTAGCCAGAAACAATTTTAGGACTTAATTACCCAAGAGTTGACAATGATTTGTTTATGTTTGCGGCTTCTTTCAAGCGGTCTCCTTCAGCACCAGAGCTCTTCTGCCTAGTCAATTTGATACTATTGGATTTCAGTAAAAGCTAAAAAAGATGAGATGGTCCCTAAAATAAACAAAATTACCTTTCAGAACCAGCAAGATCTACTAAATTTAACCTCCCAAATCTAATGTGGGTCATGGAGTCTTTCTCCCATCGACTCTCAATGATGCATGTAAAAACACTGTGGGATCTGCTGCTTTCGCTGTTCATATGAGTTGCTGCAATTTTCCTATTTGCAGCACCCTGTGTATCATGAAAATATAACAGTAATTAATATCCCCCCCAAAAAAAAGGTGCTATTGGAAAGATAAGGATCACCATTGAGAACCACCTGTAACAAAAGTCTCAGAACATCATCAACTGTTCTAACACTGTACTCAGTAAGATTTTCAACATACACGCCTTTCTTCAAATCCTCTCTGAGCTGTAATTGTCAATGTGTAGAAACAAAAAGAAAAGGAAAACAAAAAAAAAATGTTAACAAGACAATAAGTCACCATAGGTGGTGTAAAACACAAAAGCAAAACAACACTTGAGGTACTTGCAAATTAGTCGATGAAGGCTCAAGAAGATCCGTGATCTGCTCATTGTATATCTCCAGAAAGGAACATTTGCAGCTGTATTTGAGTCCCTCATTTCTTCTGTTGTTCTCTTCCTAAGAACAGAAACATTTCACTTTTAAGGAGATATATCGTAATGCAGATAGGACTCAGTTATAGACGAGGTGAGTTACCTCACTAATTCTTGTAAACAAGTATTCAAAAATGCGAGGGGTAATCCCACAATCCTCATTGAGCTTCCCAGCCATTTGACCTATGTCACCCATCATTGTGTGTGTCTTCCCACTGCCAGTCTACCAGAAACACGTCGGAGCCCCACAAGAAACATCACAATATCACCCACTTGTTGTATGACAATCAAACAAGAACGTTCAATCTACAAACCATACCTGACCATATGCAAACATGCAACTATTATATCCAGACATACAATTGTCCACCATAGGCAATCCGGCAATAGTGAAAAGTTTTTCCTGCATAAATTAAAAGAAGAATAACAAAGATGAGGATCAACTAAGACATGCAAAAAAAAAATTATTGCACAAAAGTTGAGCACCTGGGAAATAGTTTCACAAGCAATGTGGTCGAAGGTAAATCGAGTTTCAGGGTGACCAAGCCAGACCAGTGATTTGGCAGTCTCCTGTCTCAAACATCTGGCGTAGCCTTGGGACACCTTTTCAATGTTTCTTATGGGTCGAATTCGAATCAAGACCTTGCATCACCAATATTTTTAAAAGAATAAATAACAGAAGCAAATTGGTAGTACTCCACAGTGATTAGAATGAATGTAGAAAGAGGTAGTAGTAGTAGTAGCGGCAGCAGCAGTAAAAGAACCTGGACGTTGTGGTGTTTCCAAAAGGAATGGTCTTGAGGCAGGTCGAAATGGGGAACGTGCTGGAGTTGGTGGGGGTCGGGACAGGGAACGGAAATCCCTCTGGAAAAGATGGCCCCTTTTGGTCCGACATTGGAAATCCTAAGGGGGTGTTGAATGGGCTTAGAAGAAGAAGCGGGAGTGGCTGGAGCAGAAGTAGGGTCGGAAGTAGGTTTGGGTCCTCTCCTGGGGGTTGCGTTTGGTCTGGAATTTGAGACGACCAGAAGCTGATGTGATTGCTGTAGTTTTTGCGTAGTAGGAGTAAGAGAATGAGGAGGAGTATGAGCAGCAGCGTCGGATTTACATTTAGTGCCAGCACCGGAGGCAGATTTTTCCTTATTGTTACTGTTATTATTATGGCCCAAGTCATGTTGAATTTGGGATGGATCGGGAATGGAATTGAGCGGTGCCCTGGAAGGAGGAGAAGGAGGAGAAGGGCCGGCTGGCAACTGAATCAAAGGATCCGAGGAGTCGTTTTCATTCCCGGGGGATGAAGAAGGATTGGTTCGGGACATTGATCCAACGCAAGAGGTAGAGTTGTCTCCCGACATTTTTTGTTTTGTTTTGTTTTTGGAGCTTGGGGAGGAGATCTGTTTTGAGCTGGGATTTAATGGGGATGATTCAAGGAGGTTTTGAAATAAAATACGGGAGAGGGTACTAAGTATTATGTAATGGTGGAGTCGTCAGTGGGGACTCGCTGCTCATAGGTGGTGGTGGTGGCGGTGGCGGTGGCGGTGGCGGCTAGTATCCGTAACAGTAGTAGTCGAATTGCTTGCCGCCCGCTCGATTTTCAAATTCAATTGCTGGCCCGGGCGATAGAAGGCCCCCGTAGGCCCATACTTTATCTTCTCTGTTTTTCCCTTTTCTCTTTTTTTTTTTTTCTCCTTTTTTTTTTTAAACCCATATTCTGCGCCTAGTTTCTTTTAAACCCTAAAGTTAGGCTGTGTGACAATGATGCTCTCGTTATTATTTTTATTTTATGATTTTTATTTATTAAATTATATGATAAAATCTTTCCTATACTAAAAGTGGGAGTTCGGATTGCTACAGTGAAAATGGGCCGGTTATACTGTAATTGTTGTACCTTTGAGGGGCGTTTTGGTCTTTCGGCATTGGATGGCAATGGCATTGCTGGAAATTCACATCTGTCCGCGTGGCGCTCTTGGTCAGCAATTTCCTCTTCATGTGATTAGCATTAGCCTTAGTGGTGCTTCATATTTCGATAATGTCATTTGCTGTTTCTCTCTTTCTCAGGACACCGGAAGATGCATGCTATAGTATTGTGGTTCCTTTGTAATTTATTTATTCTTTGTACCTCTTTTGTTTGAGTCATTGTTGCCCCAGGTGATCCGGAGAGGTGGGCCACCTTAGCTATTTATGAGTATTAGTTTAGCCTTAGGTGTTTGCCATATTTTCCAATCATGCCATTTATTTTTCCCTACATTCAACATGTATGTTATATTTGCTTGGTTGTTTTGTAATTTTGTTATTTTTTTACCCTAATTTTTGTTGAGTTATTGTTCTCTTTTGTGGACAACACAGATAGATGTCCGCGTGGGGCTCTTGGATGGGAACATTTTGGCGGTCAGCAATTCCTCTCGGTCAGTTCTTGGTTCTGTTCTTGGTTTTCAGCAAGTATAGAGGGATCCCCGTATAAACTTTTTTTTTTTTTTTTGCAAAAGGACAAACTTTCTTCATAAAAAAATTATGCAATTTAAGAAATGGATTATAATTTTTGAACTTTTACAATAGTCCCAATTTTTTCTTTCAAGTATGAAAAAATGATTCTAGAAAACATATTTTCTAATTTTAAACACGAGTTTGTCACCCCATTTCTAAAATAGATCCATCCTTTATTTCTTAGCATTTTATTTCAATCTATCCTTAAACACAAGTCGATTTGAAATTCACCATTTAAAGATTCCAACTATCTCTTGATTTTGAATACCACTTTTATTAAAAAAGAAAAAGAAACAGAGAAACTCACCTATTTTAGCACATGATTTAAGAATACAAAATAACCTATAATTTTGCAGCTTATGATACAGATTACAACAAAAAAAAAATCATCAACCAAGTTACCGAAAGAATCATCAAATGAGTAAGAATTATAGATTCAAAGAACCTAGAAAATAGAAATGAAAAATTTTTAACTCAAGAAATCGTTGGATATTGTATATATCTAAGCCATTATCTTAGTGAAAATTCAAAGAGATTCTTCCATGCTTGTCGTACTCACCACATAAAGTCTTGCCTCCTATACAAATTATCAAATTCAAAATCATCAAAATCTACAAAAATAAACAAAGAATAGACAACCAAAAAAGGGGAAGAAAGAAAGAAAAATAAGAAAATATGTATATTTACCCCTGCAAGTTGAAGTCGTTCAATATTGAGAGTCCAAGACTCATTTTCAATAGATGATGTCTTGTCTAAAGAAACCATTGTTGCTCCCTTCATTCTTGAATACTTTTAATCTATCAATCAAACAATCATCTGAATTGCAACAAACAAACAAGGTTCCAATATGAAATCTTGATTAGGAGAAATGATAGTATATATAAACCAAGCTCATGGTGGGATAGAGTTGAATAAAAATTATATGTCATGCATTCAGACCTATTAATGTAAAAGAAAAAAGCCATTGAATATACAAAAAAATTTAATTTAATTTTACATTGGTCTAAAAATATTTTTAAATATGTTTGAAAGCTCATTCAAGTATAGCAAACAATAGAAAATGATAAACCCATTTTATAATGTTAGGCATTATTTAGTGATTAATGCTACATTAAAAAAGTTAGATAACCATGCCTTATAATTCTACCTAATTTTAGTCATTACTTACTGATTATTGCTACATTAAGAATGTTAGATAACCTAATTTCAAGGTCTTATTTATCAGTGCAATTAGGAAAAAATACACACTCACACACATGACGACTGTTAGATCGTTGATAATTTATTGCAGATATGAAATACTAATATATCGTATCGATATCTCATATTAAGTCAATTAGTAGTCCAAGTCCAGTAGGTACAAAAATCTCTTCAACTTCATAAATAAATTGAGTAAACGAATAACGATAATAACCAATTTACCTAAAGTTAAATTCCCCATAGTTACTAGCACCCATCATATATTTAATATATAACTATTTTATATTAATTCACTTGTCTTCATTTTAACTTGTTCAACACAGACTCAGGGCATCCTCACGCATCGCGTGAGGCTGAAAAAACTAGTAGATAATAAGAGTGTCACTATACGAGCCTGTTTGACACTTGAGTTTTTACTCAAGTTTGTCTTATACTAGTTTTTTACCAACTTTAGTTATAATAATATAAAAAAACTTTTTAAAATTTTGTACCTACACACTTCAAAATACTCAAACCACAAAAAAAAAAAAATTCCCTTTCATTTTTTTTTCTTCTTTCTCCCCCACCACCACCACCTCCGTCGCTAGTTCCGGTGCCAATCCTTTTTTTTCCATTCTCCCTCTCCCCCTCTTCCTCCCCCGCCATCCTCCTATTTTGCCCGATTTGATCATCTCCTTCTTTTTTTCTCCCTCTCCCTCACTCCTCCCCCACCACCCTTCCCCTTCCCCTTCCCTTCTAGTTGATCTGGTCTAGCGACCAGATCATACCGGGGGAGGGTGAGGGTGGCAGGATAAAGGAAGGAGAGGGAGAGAGAGAAAATTGGGAAAAAAAAAGTTTCTATTGCTACTTTGTCCGTCAATAGAATGAGAGAAGAAGGGAGGGGAATGAGAGGGAAATTGGGGAAAAAATTCTGTTGCTGCTTCATCTGCCAGGGGGACAGAGAGTTGGTGGGCGAGGGGAATGGGGAGGGGGAAAGGGGTGGAGAGGGGGAGGAAAAAAATAAAAAAAAAAGTTTTCTTTTGCTGCTTCATTAGCAGTTTTGGGAGAGGGAACAGAGGAGGGAAAAGGGAGAAAGAATGGAAAGGGACGAAAGAAAAGAAAGAAAGAAAAGAAAAAAAATGAAAAGGAAAAGGAAAAAAAGTTTTTCTACAACTTCTATAGTGATCTACAGTAAAATGGCTTGTTGGAAGGCAAGTTTTTTGTCAAGTTTATCTGCTGCAAGTTTTTTAAAAACTTTAGCTACAGTAATTTCAAAAAACTTTTCAAAATTTTTAAACTATACTTCAAAATATTCAAAATTTTACACATTTCAAAAATTTTTTTAAAAACTTCTACAATAAGTTACAGTAAAGTTTTAAACAAATACTCAAAAAAGTCACTTGCCAAACGAGGCCAGAAAATGAACTGAAATTAAAGATAAAATATTATTGAAATATATATTTTATACATTTACTCTCAAATTTGAATGCTCATGTACTTAAACTGGACAATTTTCACTTTCATTCTATTTCTCCAGTTACATGGGAAAATGAAGTGATAGCAATTGAAGTAAATGGAAATTAAAAATCAGTTTTTCGTTTTTTTTCTTTATTATGAGGGGTGGAATTTAATAAAAATGTGACAAGTCGTGTTCTTAAAATGGCAATTTTCACCTTGGTTCTATTTCTCCCCACTTTCGAAGTTACATGGGAAAATGAAGTGATAGAAATTGAGGTAAATGAAAATTAAAAATTAGTTCTCCCTCTCTCTCTCTCTCTCTCTTGTATGAGAGGAATGAAATTTAAAAAGCGAAGAGAATAAAAGGAAATTTGAAGTTAAAATCTCTAAATCCTAAAATTTTAACATTAGCCACTATATCAAGATATCGTTAACAAATTTTTTTATACTTTTGTTAGACAAGAAAGTCTGAAAAAAGAAGAGTACACACTCTAAGTTATAGATCAGTGTGTGTAAAATTTGTTTGGATTGCACTTTTACATTTTTTTTAAACAAAAAACCCAATCAACCATCAATCAAATCTCACAATTTTTGCAGGACACAACACGAAGGAAAGTGAAGGATGGTACTAGAAATTCTTAAAACTTCCCAATAAACAAAAAAAATAGAAAATAAAGGATTTATCTTTTCCTTACAGCCGAGTACAGTCTCGTTCTATTTCTAATTCTAACATCATCCTAGAAGGCTTTATAGATACTATAATTAAGTTTTAGTTGATTTCATTTGTGGGACATTTCGTTCTACAATTACACAAGATGAAATATTTAAACTATGAGTTCACTTGCAAAAAACAATTTTGACAGGTGTCGAACCTGTGCAATAATAATAAATAAAACCTAACTACCACATAAAGCAGTCAATAATCAATTCGAGTACTGGAGCAGGGACTCTAGGTGTGCAATGGGTTACTTGATTCACCCTGTTCCCGAAGAGTTTGCTTAATCCGATATACTTGAATTAATTATTTAACTGAATTTACTAACTTAGTAGGCAGTGGTAAGCAGGGTCGTCTCCTCAGGGACTGGCGAGAAATTTATTTCTTTTCAAGTCAAGATTAATAGGGGGTTTCGGGATTAAACGACAACTAAATAAATTAAATGCAGAAAATAATTAATTAAAAGAAATAACTAAGAGAAACTCTAGCCAAGGGTATACTTCAGAAATGGTTCATGCAACTGATCATTGATTCAAAGATAATTCCAACATTTATTAATAGATTGGTTATAATTGTCTCGCAAGCGCTAAACAACCAACCCTTCCTTAACTTATCGATATAGCTAAGGTATGACCGTTAGCTATTTCTCTAACCCAAAAACAACCCTAGGTACGACCGTAGGATTTAATTTCTGATTTGCATTAATAATTAGAAAG